TTCCTGCACATTTCAGTGCTGATTTCCTGAAATGTTTGTCTGCCTTACTCCATTAAAAGGCAATTTTATCCTGGTTGTTTGCAAATGCTTTTCTTCTCTCTTGGAAACTTTTTTTTTAGGGGAAAAAAAATGTTTAATCTGCTAAAGAAGCAAGATATGTTTCTGAGGAACAGTGAGCATTCTCAAGGGCTTACTTGGCTTTTCAGGGAACATAACCAAAGCACCCTAAAATGTATGAATAACTATTATTTTATGGAATACATCTGGGTGGGCATTTTTTATGTCCTAAAAAAAGTGTGTCTGGTCAAATAGGTTTGGGAAATTCCAGGGCTAAGTAAAATTAAATAGATTGTTTATTGCAGGATTTTTAAAACTTTACTGTGTTAAATGTTTTTGACTGCAAGAAGAGGCCAGAATGTGCAGTGACTCCCAAATATATGGACTGTAGAACCCTTTTTCATGAATCGTATTGCAGGATTGGTGTTTCTCAGAACACAAATTAAGTTTTAGTAGTAGGTACTCAAAAATTGATAATAATAACCACATATATTTTTTAAATACTAATAGGGCAGTAACATGCTAATTTTTTTTTTTTTTTTTACAGTAAGGTGTTCAAAACCTTCTTAAAGTGCTGTGATAGACATATAAAGGTCAGGTAATTTGAGATAATATAGTTCTTAAAAAATTGAAACCATCCATGACTAGTGTGAATTATCCCAGTTACACTATCCCGTAATTTTCAGTGTTCACCAATTGCCTGAGAATTAACAGGTTATAGCAACTACTATGTTTCTATTGCTATGTTAGATACAATGGAAGATAGATACGGATAATTACCCTAGAATATTCAACAGTTCATTTGAGGAACTAAATAACAAGAAAACAGTAAGTCACTTTAATTTCCCACTTTAAAAATAAATGAGGTTGTTGATAATTCATTTCTTCTGAATGTTCTCATCAGCCACCATTTTAATTTTTTGGTACAGGTTCATATTTTTATACAGTAAAGTCCTTCTAAAATGAAATATTTATTTACTAGATAACAAAATGAACATGTAGACTGACATTAAGCGAGAAAAAACTTTTTAAAACACTCTGTTATATAATATCACAATTGTTAGAACATGTTCAGTTATTATGTTTTATGTTTTTAAAATGGCATTTTTACTCCTTAGATCTCCTATAGTACATGTCTTTACCAGCATTTGAAAGTGAGCATATCTATCATTCATGTCTTATATAGGTTTATAAATTTACATGTTTATCTTTCCTGATCAGAGGCTTGTAACATTTTATACAGTTTTAATTCCTCTAGGTAAATTCCAATAAATTTGTATTTTGGTTTATTCATAGGCCATCTGAATTTATCTGGGTTATCTTTTTAATGGTAACAATACAAGTTAATGACTTAGTTTCTAGAATCCCATGAATAAAATATAAAAGATATATTTAGTTTATAAGACATTAATGAGGAGCTTCAGTGCATTTCCTCCTTCTGATATCTTTTAAAAGAAATCTAATTATTTTTCACTCATCACGAAAGCTGTAAAAGTCAGGTCATACAGATTTGCATATGTTTTATTTTATTTTTTAATCACTTTGAAAGACTGCTAAATATTTCTTTAAAGAAGATTCAAAGAAAAAGAAAACAAGAAAACTAGGTTTGTTTTCAGCTGATCCTACACAGTATATTGAGCTGGCTTTTGAGCTTGACCACGCTGGCACTGTCATGGGTTGTTGATCTTTCATCTTCAGAAATCGATGATGCAGGAGCATACATTTTCTTTCCATTTGCAACATTCTATATTGGTTAACCCAAACTGAAGTCAAGAAGATTTGGGTTTTTAAGACCAGCACTAGCTAGGAAGTATATACAATGCATTGCTCCATTGTGTCAGATTCCAAAACCTTCAACATCAAAATAACCTTCAAATGTTTTATTATCAATTTCCAAACACTTTGGAGTATTCTATAAATGTTGTTGAATAGCTAAGTTTCTCATTTTCCAAGTTCTTCTATGTGTTCATGAAATAGCAACAAAGTAGCATATAATTGAACCTAAGGTTTTTATTCCTTTAAAAGAATCCTTATTTAAAAAGGTGTTAGCTAACCTTTTTAAGCATTTACCAGGCACTGTTGAAAATATTTTACATTTTTTGGTACAGGTTTTGGTACAGGTAATTTTTTCTGCAGAACAACTCTGTGAAGTAGTTATCATCATCATCATCATCATCATCATCATCATCATTATCATCATTATCGTCCCAATTTATAGATGAGAAAATGAAGAGGAGAGAGAGAGTAGATAACTTGCCCAATTATTGCATAAGGAGAACTATATAATGAAAAATGTTTGAATTGATCTTAAAGACTGTTATCATTGTGTGACTTTTATTCACTCGGAAAATATTTATTTAGTGCCAACTATGTGCCAGGTACTGTGATTGGAACAAGAGACAGGTATAAACATGATGAATACCTTTGCAATGCCAAGCATCTGGATAAACAACCATTGCCCAAATCCACATACATTAAATAATTATTTCAGTCAACAATATATCCCCAAGTGCCTGTTCTCTGCCCAGGTATTGTCCAGCAAGCACTTTGTCGGATATCTGGCATTTTGACAAAAATCCGTGTTTCATAATAATATTTCTGCCTATTAAAGAACTATTAGGCATATACTGTAAACTGTATTGAAATGCCATAACTCTTCCCCTGTCTCTGCCTGCAGAGAGCTTCTGTTGTAAGATTTGTAGCGATAGACAAAGAAGGTAAATCCTGAAGCAAGGAAGCTGGAATATCAGAAGCTCACTCTTCACTAGTTGAGATTTAATCTTCTATTAGAGGTGGTGAGAGTTAAGTTTTCTCTCATCATCTTCTTTTGAAGATGGCAGCATTTGACAAATGCTTTTCTAAAAAAAACTATTGCCTGTTTGTTTTAGAAACACCTTTTTATGTTTT